CCCCCCCCTCGCCCCGCGATGATTATCCGCAAGTATCTTCTCAACACCTGGGTGGCATCCAACATCCTGACCTCCCTAGCCGGGAGCACCTGGCTGGTCTTGCGCTTCTTGCCGATTCCCCGGGTGGACCGGCTGCCGGCCGCCGCACGCGGCGCCAAGGCCGCCGCGGCTGCCGCCGCCGCCGCCGCCGCCGCCCAGCCGAAGTTCGACCCGAGCGGGCTCTTCCCCGATGTGGACCCGGTTCCGACGCTGGCCACCTCGGCCGGAGCCGCCGGCGTGACGGCCGCCGCCACCGCCGGCGCCACCACGTCGTGGTGGATGTCTGCGCTGATTGCCTTCTCCTGGTTTGTGTATGTCCTCTACATTTTGGCTTGCGTTGGGGCGCTGCTCTCCTTTGCCTCCAGCTCGATCCAAGCCTTCCGGGTATGTTGGTCCCAGCGCCTCGGCCTTCGGCCTGCTTCTGGCTTTCCTCCGGCCGTCCCCCTCTCTTCGGCCTGGGCCCGCCTCCAAGCGACCGCCGACTGACGCATTGGCCTCCTCCTCCTCCTCCTGCTCCGGGTCCCTCCCTTTCCATTTCCTCCTTTCGCTCGCGGCCCTGACCTCTGGCCCTCCCCCCCCCCCCCCCTTGCGACAGCCCACCCTGAGCAAGGGCATGCCGGCTGGCGGGCCCTCCCAGCTGGCGCGCATGCTTCTGCGCGATGAGAAGGTCCAGTATTCGCTGCTGGCTCTGCTGCTGATCATCAAGCCCTTTGACTGTGCGCCCTCGCCATAACCGGCCGCCCGCTCGGCCCTGCGCCTGCTTGCCCTCTCGCCGGTCACCTTCTAATCCATGCACGCCCCGATTGGCTTGCCCTTCTCTCGATCCGTAGATGGTCTTCTGCCATATGTCATCCTCTCGCTGTTCCACGTGTCGGACATGCTCCGGTCCTCGACCACCACGCAGATTCCGGCTTTCCTGCTCCAGTACGTCCTGTGGAGCTTCTCGCCCCTTCTTTCCCTCTCTCCGCCTCCGCCTCCGGCCTTTCGCGCTCGCCTCCAGGACGCATGCCTGTCATGAAGCCGTGTCAGGCCAATTGGCCAATCCCAGGCCCACCTGTGTCACCCTTGTCCTTTTCTCCTTTCCTCGGCCCGTGCTTCTCCTTCGATGTGCCCTGCTGACCTGCCACAATCCCCCCCCGCCCCCCCCATACACACACAGGCAGGCCAAGCGCGTGACTGCCATCTTCGACCAGTACCGCCCGTCGGCCATCGAGTTTGTCACCCTCTATGAGATTCTCCTCATCCCCATCTCCTTCTTCAGCATCTTCTTGTGCGCTTCCCACTGTCTGATGGCCTGCCACATGGCCGCCGCCTTGATGCTGACGCCCTCCCCCCCCATGCTCCCCTTCCCCCCCTCCCTCTTCGCTGGCTCTTGCGCGCGCGTGTGCGCCCTTGCATCACAGTGGCACCTCGATCATCTACTTTGCCCTGTACGCGTCGCTCATTGTCTTCCGACTGCGTAACACCAACCCGGCCCGCAACAAGTCCACTGCCTCCCCGGCGGCCGGACCCGGGACCGGGCCTGGTGGCCGTAGCACCTCCACCCGGGCCTCGGCGCCCAGTTCCTCCGAGAGCATGGCCCCGCACACCCGCCGCGCGGCGGTCTCCCTCGGGACCAGCATCGATGCCCTGGTGCACCGGACTGCCTGGCTCCCGGCCCCGGTCCGGTCGACCTACGCCCTTGTTCGGAGCAAGATCCTTGAGATCGTTTAGGCCGGCAGGCAAGGTGGTCCTGCCACCACCATGCACGCAGGTGTGCCCCATTCCGCATGACAGTTCGCCCGCGTGACGGGCCGCCCACTTGCGCCTGTGTGTGGCTCAACGTCGCCATACCTCTCCCCCCCCCCCTCGCCTCTCTTTTCTGCTTTTCGCTTCGCTTTCTGCATCGGGGCAGCAGACCCCCCCCCCCCCCCCCCTTCCCTCCCCGTGTGCCGCCTTGGAGGAAGTTGTGCTTTAGATTTCCACCCTTCTCACCGCTGCCGGCAATACACACCCTAGAGTCCTCCATCCATGGCGCCGGTGGCCGCAGCCATGTCTGCCGCCTGCACGCGCACATCCCCCCACACTACCATGGAAACACCTCGAGGCGCACGTCTATCAGGAATGGAGAAGGCAGTGGAGGATGAGGGAACAAGGACAGGAAAGATCAGAGAGAGAGAGAGAGGGAGAGGGAGAGGGAGGAGCGGCCGGTGGCCAAGGTGACACTCAGGTACGCGGACGACGGGTGCCACCGGTGCCCGGTCCCCGGCCCGCCGGCGAGGACGAGCCGGGCGTCGACACAAGGCGCCGCTTACGAGACTGCTCGCGGGCTGGAGCGGGGGCAGCGTCTTGCTGGGTGCGGCTGCCGGGGGGCGGGTCCTCCTCGCCCAGTGTCCGGCCAGAGGCCGTCACAGAGGTGGTCTCCTGCAAGTGCCGGGCCTGGCGCGCCTGGCGAGTCTGGCGCCGGGTGGCGGCATTGAAGGCCTTCTGCCGGGGAGTCAAGTCGGAGGAGGAGGAAGAGGAGGAGGAGGAGGCCGGGCTGGAGGAGGAGGAGGAAGAAATCGAGGCAACGGCGGCGCCGGCACTGGTGATGACCGCCATCGAGGTGGCCGTCGTCACAACCGAAGTCGAGGTCGAGGTCGAGGTCGAGGTCGAGGTCGAGGTCGAGGTCGAGGTGGAGGTGGAGGTGGAGGCCACCGAGTCCACCAGCAGCACCGAGACGGGGCCCTTGGCCGAGGTTAGAGTCTCCGACGAGGGGGACTCCTCGGGCGAGGCGCCGGCCGTCGTCGATGGGGATCCAGCGTCGGCCAGTGTCGAGGCCGTCGAGAGCGAGGGGGATGGGGGGGAGGCACTCTTGCCGGCCGAGACCGACACGCCGGAAACCGCCCGACCGGAGGCCAGCAGGCTGCTGGCGTGGCGGACCGTGGCACTGCCGGGCAAGTGGCGCCGGGGCCGAGCTGGAGGACCGGTGGCCTCGGCCACAGCCAGGGCGGCCTCGCGAGACCCGGCCGCGGCATCCACCGATGGCTTGCCCGGGGGAGCACCACTGCCGGGGCCGGTCGGGCTGGGGGCCGCCGCCGCTGCTGTCGCCGCCGCCGGGGCGGCCACCATTGCCGCCTTGGCCACGACGGCCGCCGCAACGGGAGTCGGCAGCGGGTGGGCCGGGGTCCGGGTGATCGGCGACCGCGGGGCCGTGTACAGGCGCGTCGAGGGGGGGAAGTGCAGCCGCGCTGGGGCCGGGCTCCGAGCCGAGGTCCTGGTGGGCTGGGGCGAGCCGGGCAGGGCGAGGGCCGCCGGCCGAGGCGGCTGGGACTGCCGCGCGGCCAGCGGGACCACGGCATCGGGCAGCGCCTCGGCCAGAGCCAGCTGCCGGCGGAGGAGCTCCTCCTCCGGGGCGGTCGCGGCGGCCGTGGTCGCCGGTGCGCACCCAGCAGCATGGGTGCCATCCGGCAGGTGGAGGACGGTGCGCTCCTCCTCGCCCTCCTCCTCGGGCTCGTACGCAAAGTTGTCCATGTCCTCGATGGCCGGGAAGGGCACGCGCGAGGGGCCGCCCACCGAGCCGAGGGACAGCCGCGAGGGGGCAAAGGGCGGCGACTGGGCGCCGCGGAAGACCCCGGCCGCCGGAGCCAGGGCCGCCCGTGCGGAGGGCAGCCCGGCGCCATGCTGCGGCGGCAGGCTCGGCGACCGCGGGTGCCCGGCGCCATTGATGCTGCCAAGACGCGGCCCGCCCCCAAGCAGATCCACATAGGCGTTGGTGGACTCGCGCGCGTCCATCCGGTAGGGGCGCAAGTTGCGGAACGTCCGCACCGACATCCGGTCCTGGGCGAAGACATCCGACGTGGTGACCGTGGTGCCGGGGCTGGCCGGCACGCCGGGGCCCGGGGCCCCGGCCAGCGAAGGGCCCGGCTCGGCGAAGGCCCCCCCCCCGCCGGCCCGGCCCTGGGCCATGCGCTCGTCCAGGTCGTCCAGCTCGTCGCCGGCCGTGGGATTGGGCCCGCGGCCGGTCGGAGACCCGGCAAAGAGCCCCTGCATGCGCGCCTGCAGGCTGTCGAAGGGGGACATCCGGAAGAAGGGCGGCGTCAGGGGGAGGAAGTGGGGGTCGGGCTGGCCCGGCGTGGCCGGCGGGCTGGCAACCGGGGGGGTTGTGGCCGCGGTCAGCGCCGCCACCGACATGTCGCCAGCCGGCACGAGGGCGGTCGACCGGGGCTCGAGGTCGGTGCCGGCGACCGGTGGACTGGGCCCGGCGGCGGTGCCGGCGGCGAGGGCCCCGGCCCCGCGCGTTGGCCGCCCCGGGCGCCAGGACGTCAGCAGCCTGACCAGGCGGCCAGGGGTGGCGGCGGCGGCGGCCGCCGCCGCCGCGCTGGCCGCCGCACCGAGCGGCGCCGCCGAGTCGAAGGACACCGGCGGCGCATGCTGCCGGAAGCGCCGGGTCAGGTCCGACAGGATGGTCGGCATGAACTTCGGCGGGTCGGCCCACCCGAGCCCGGCAAGGCGCCAGTGCCGGCGCCGGGCCCGACGCCGACGCGCCTCCAGCACATTCGACACCCGGGCCTGGACACCCTCCAGCCAGAGGACCGGCGCCACGAAGATCAGCCAGATGGCCCCGCGCAGCAGGGCCACCAAGGCCCCCATGGCCGCCGAAGCCACGGCCCACGTCCAGTAGGGGGCCCGGCCCAGGGGATTCCCCGGGCCCAGGGCCCCGCCGGCACCCGGCCCATTGGACCCGGCGGCGCTGGGCCCCCCGCCGGGGGTCCCGGAGAAGAGCCCCTGCCGACAGGTGGGGCAGTTGAAATGCAGGAAGAGCCACGTCCGCAGGCAGCCACTGTGCGATGTTTCCGACAGAGTGTCAGAACGGGGAACAAAACCATGGCGGCAGATGTGCCGGCGAGCGGCAGCCGACGGGCGCATGGCCGGCCGCGAGGGGCACCCTCCTGGGTCGAAAGGAAAAAAAAACGCACTAATGGTAAATGTGCCCACACAGAAGGCGCTTGGGGATGTAGAAATCCGGATGCTTTTCCGGGTCATCCTCGGCGCCAGAACCGCCGGTTGGGATGCCGGCCGTGGGGAGGTCGTGGGTGCTGGCGCCGGCCCCGGCCCCTGGTCCACTGGCTGGGACCTCCTCCTGGATGAGCAGCTCCTCGCGGCAAATGGCACACGGGTCCTCGAAGGCGGCCAGCTCGGCCGGCGAGGCATTGATCAGCCCCGCATGGACCTTTTGGTTGAGGACCAGGGTGCGCAGGGCGCGCTTGCCCCGGCGCAGGAGCACGCGCAAGGCCTCGCGCGTTTGCAGCACCAGCACCATGTCAACCAGCGAGAAGAACGACCGGTGATGGAGCTGGCCGGGGGTTCCGCGCGGCAGCCGGGAAAGGGCGGGGGGGGGGGCGCAGAGGAGTATGTCAGCACGGGCATCGGCCAGGGGACAGGGCAGAGGCGACATGCGATCGGGCAACCGGGCGGCCGGCCCGAAGCCCCAGCATATCAGGACGCACGATGGTCAGCACATTGTGGAAGACAATCAGGGTCAGGGTCGAGGCGTCCATGAGGCTGTGAATCCAGGCCGTCAGGACCGATGGCTGCCCGGAGAAGAAGGCGGCCAACTGTCGCACGCGGAGGGCCGGCCCCGTGGGCGGGAAGGCTTCGGCCCCGGTGGCCGAGCCGCCGCCCACATTCGGGCTATGCCCGGTCAGGACATACACCATGTCCGCCAGCAGCCGGCCGAGGGTCTCCTCATCGGCCTCCGGCCCGGTGAGCGGCGTGCCAGTCGGGCCGGCGGGGGAGGAAGTGCCCGCGGCCGTCATCGCCGCGGCCGCCGCCGTGGCGATGGCCTCCGGAGTGGCACCAGGAGCAGCAGCGGCAGCAGCCACGGCCGCCTCCTGGAGCAGGGCCCCGGCGGTCGGCTGGCCAGGGCGATTCAGCGACCCGAGCGGGGTCATCAGCAGCAGCGTGCCGATGTACACCGCCTCCAGGGCCAGCATGATCGGCTGCGTGCGCCCGGGTCGAAGAGGGGGAGGGGGAGGGGGCAGGGGCAGGGGCAGGGGAGGAAACACCCAAAGGGGAGTGGCCAAGGCGGGGGCCAGGCGAGGAGGAGGCGTCAGCGACAGGTAAGATGGCCGCAGCAGCAACGGCAGCAATGACCGAAAGGGAGGGGCACAGGCAAAAGAGGCTCCCCGGCGAGCAAAGCGGAGAGAAGGAGGCCCGACAGGGGGGCAAGGAGGGAAGGCGGCCCCACCGGCCCTTTCCACAAAGGCGGCCATACCTCATATAGCACAAGAAACAGCGACCCGAAGGTGAAGCCATAGTTGGCCGGGGCAATGCTGACGAGGCCGAGGGCCGCGTGCATGGCCTTGCCGGCGAAGAGCAAGGCACACACGCACAAGAGCCCGGTGTACCGGCGCTGGCTGGCCACCTGGCGCATGACATGCTCATAATTGCGGATGATGGCCACGGCGGTCGGCTCGTCCGGGGCGGTGCCCAGGGCCAGGTCGGTCGGGGCCCCGATGCCGGGGCCATTGGCCGGCGGGAAGAACTCCACAATCTCGTGGGTCTGCACGCGGAAGGACTCCGGGCTGAAGATGTGGGCCACCGAGCGGGCCGTGGTGCCGACATTGGTGCGGAAGGCCCGGTGCAGGGCCCCATTCCGGAGGACCGAGCAAATTTGGATCCGATGACGCCCGGCCGCCAGGACGATGCGCCAAATGGCGATGCTGGTAACCCACACCCACCAGACCAGCAGCTCGCCAAAGGGCCCGGCCGCGCTGTGGCTGCTGTCATGGTTGATGGCGGCAATGGCAAACAGGGCCTTGGTGGTGCTGATTTCCACGATGAGGCTGGAGAGGGTCAGGAATTCGGCCGTCCGGAGCCGATGGCCGCCGAGGGAATTCGGCAGCAGGGTCGTCTGGGCGATGTTCAGCTGCACGGTCAGCTGGGTGTTGGCCAGGTAGTGGCCAATCCGGCGGAGGAGCCCGGCCGTGGGGCTGGCGGCCGGCACGCCGGACCCCTGGGCCTCGGCATGGGCCCCGGCCCCAGGGGAGGTGGCCCCTCCGCCGACAGCCGGCGTGGACACCGGCGCATCGGCCACCTCCGGGTCGGCCGCGGCCCCGACATCGGAGTTCAAGTACAGCCGGACGGGCAGCGGCTCGGCGCGCGGGGCAACGGCCATGGCACGCGCCCGGGGCCCAAGCAGGCGCAACTCGGCTGACACCTCCGGCAGGTTGATGTAGAAAAAGTGCACCAGGAAGCGCGCGGCAAATTGCGCCAGCACCAGGGACACCGTGACGAAGGTCAGCACGAGGAAGCTCTTTTGGGTTTGCGACGAGGCGGCCAGGCCGTCCAGCCACTCGGACATGGTCACCCGAGCAGCCAGCGGGCTGGCACTGGCCGCGGCCCCGGGGAGCAGGGCCGCGGCCGAGGACCGCGCCGCCGAGAAGGCCAGCACCCCCGGGCCGGGGGTCCCGGCCACCGAGGCGGCCGTGGCCCCGGCCAGGGCCCCGGTCGAGTGGGCCAGGGCCGCCGCCGCGCCGACCGTCGGCGGGAAGGTCATCGGCGCGAACAGCTGTGCCAGGGCCTGGGTGACATTGAGCGAGGGGGAGCACACGCCCCAGGAGGCCAGCGGCGGAAGCGGCGCCGGAGGATAGACCATGGCACCGGCGGTGGCCGCCCGCAGGACCGATGCCGCTTTTTGCAGGACTCCGCGTGCCGGGCCGGCCATGGTGGCCGGCGCAATCGGCACCGGCGACAACCCCTCCAGCACGGTGGCCAGCAGGCTGGCGAAGACGGACCGAACAAAGAGCCAGACAAAGTGCGGCACAGCCAGCGCCGCGCGCAGCCAGCCGCCCAGCCAGCCGCCCAGCAGCAGCAGGACCCCGGGCCCGGGGCCGAGGGCCTGGCGGAAGGCTCCGGCATCGACGCCGGCCGCCTCCAACAGGTCCACCGGCACGCCGGCCAGGTTGTCCAGGGCCGCCGGGCGGAAGGGCTCCCGAGCCGAGGCGTCCAGGAAGCTGGCGATGTTGGCCGAGCAGATGGCCCCGATGACGCGATCCATGGCTAGGGGGGGGGGGGGGGGGGG